AAATGTTTTATGCCATTCCTTTGTTAGGAGACAAAATTACTACAAATCATTGTGAAAGGTTGGTTAAGGAGATCTTAGTTTGAAATGATGATTCTGCAGTGTATGCTTGGCTGTGGCTTTTTAATTAGCAGAGAGTAGTTATTCCAAAAAGACTGACAAAATTTCTGCACACCTTGCTGACCATACCAAGTGGAGAAAGAAAATTGGAATTTGAGTAATGGCTAGTTTGTCCTAATCTGAGAGCTCCAGCTTTGAAATTACACATCAGCTCTAAAGCATCTTTTCTTTTTTTACTGGTGAATGGCTGTTTACCTACAATTTTACAGTTCCTGTGCATTATATTACTGCGGTATTTCTGTTCCTCAGAGTCAAGTGTGTATACGCGTTCGCTCAGCTTCTCTCCAGCAGTTGTCTAGATGGATATTTAGTTTGTCGAGCTTTAAAGATTTCTCTTAGCTGAACTAGAAAACTGAGAGTCAGAACAGAGTTTTCTTTATGGTGGCTTATGCAACTTCTGTGCTGTCCTGTTTTTGTGAAGAACTTTATAAACATGATTATCTACTGTTTTCCCTCAGGTAAGGTAGGTGCTCGTTTTGGTAGAGTTATAGTCAAATCTTCATTTTAACAGATTTATTTTATAATTATAAACTTCTGGAATAATTCATGTTTGAGAGGACCTAAGCACATCTAGTCCAACCTCCTAATCAGAACAGGGTTAGTTGTGAGGTCAAGTCAGGTTGTTCAGGTTCTATCTGGTTGAGTCTTCAAACTCAAAAATGGGATGATGTGACTGCTTGGCCTTTCGGGAGGAATTGCCTTGTGCCTGCTGTTTGAAGACCGGCCATGTGCAGCCATTTTTATAGGGAAAACAAGAGCAGATGAGAGATCTGTATAGCTACTGCCTTGCTCGCAATCATAGGTACTGGTATTTTACAGTTTGTAGACAGCTTAATTGGGATGGATAAATGTGTGATGGAGTGGTTTGGGTGGAAAGGGAGGAGCACCATGAAGTTTTAATCACTTGGGAGTTTCTGTTCTCTCTGTTGTTGGGTGGTTATTTTTTAAAAAAATGTGACCAAGAGTGGAATACAGGTATAAGAAAAAGATTTATTCTCTTTCATGAATGTGGTGTCTGGTACATAATATCTGTGTACTCCACTCCATGCCTGGCATATTTGCACCTTTCTTGCTCTCTTACTATCCCCAAATCATGTAATCATCATGCGCAGTTTCTTAAAGGAAATGCAACTTTTGTCTGCTTTTGATTTCTATGCCTTGGAGATCTGAGGTATTACTGAGTATTGCTGGCAAAACCAGTTCTGGAGTCTGACACTCCACCTCAAGAACAGAACATACATAAACAGTAAAACCTGTACAACCACAGTTAAAGAAATAACTGTTCTTCAGAGGTGGCTTTTCTTGGGTTAAACCTGGGCAGCTTGAGATAGATGGAAGTGCTAGTTCTCAGGAACTGAGCCTGGGAATGGGAGCCAAAAAACCTTATAAGCAATTGGCATCGTTTACCTATTTGTGTAATGAATGTACACGGCATAAATGCTTGATAGTGTGTGGCTTTAAGCTTATATAGTTTTATGATTACTTGTCATTTGGTTGATAAACAAAAGTTTAAAGTATTCAGTTACATCATTTAAACATCATTTTTACTCTTTACTTTTTTCTCATTTTTCAGTGACAATGACAAATATTGGAGAAAAAGGTAAGATTTTTATTAGCTGTTTATAAGTAGAATTCATGTATCATGGTAGTATAGTAATTTATTAGTACAACTGAGATACAGATCTAACCTGTTTAAAATGAGTGTATTTTTTTGTGTTCCTCAGCTTTAGCCATTCCAAATAGAGATGAGAAAAATTAGAACTTTTTATTCTTCTTACTGGCTTTCTGAAATGTCAATTTTCCTTATATTCTGGTTTTAAAGATTTTTATTCGTAACAGGGAATGCTTTTGTAAAACGAGAACTTCTAAAGATGAGCAAGGGTTTATACAGAGTGCAACATACTTAAATGGGAGGTAAATTTTTTCTGCAGTTTCTTTTTAGCCAGTTTCTTTGAAGAAACAAAATCCTTCAGATATGTAACCTTTTCAGAAGATAATAAAGCTGCCTGATTAGAGTTCCTACCCCGAGGCGGTAGCATGTTTAGATTGTTTTTCCAGATGCTATTTTAATACCACAGCACAACATGGGAGCATAAAATGTGGGACTGCAGAGCTTTTGGAGGAAGGACTTGGGGGTTAGAAGACAAACTGTGTGCTTTTTACATTTGTGTAACTCCAGTAGGTTTTACTAAGTCATTGGCTACTCCCTCACTTAGAAAAAGTGTTTGTCAATTAAAAAACATAAGCTTGAAAAACTTTTTTCAGTTTAGTGATCTCTTTCCCTAGATGAGTGCATAAGCATATCTGCGAGCGTCAGCACCTGCAGACTTTGCAATAATTCCAGTTTCTTGCTGCTCCATATTGTGTGTGTGGGAGACAAGTAGGTTGTTAGTAATTCCTTACAAAGCACATTAGAATTATCAGTAAAATGCATTGGGGAACATTAAATGTCCCTTTGGTGAGCTTCAGCCTTGGTGAGCTTCAGCCAGTCAGTAGAAATTTACCCTAGCTGTACTTCTGCCCTAAGTGTTTTCAGGAGTGAAAACTGGGCAAAAGGGGCTCACCCCTACTACAGGTTGCTGCAGATTTCCAGGCAACTCTAGCGATGTTAACTGTTTGTAAATGGGTTGCCTTCAAGCCAGGAATATGCCGTTTGAGTTTTTTTCAGAAAGAGTGTAAAATAGAAGGATTTCTGCCCAGGGAGCTGCAGGCAGCTCTTCTTTTTATGTCTGAAGGGAATTGAGGTTTTTGTGTTGGACTCTGAACTCCTCCAGGCTCAGTGAAGCAACTGGGTGGCCCAGGGTCTCCACTGTGGTGTGTGGAAACTGGTGAGTAGGTCACCTGGGAGAAGCAACTGGTCAGGACCTGGGCTAGGTTGGAGAACTGAGGTGCAAGAGCAAACAAGAGCTGAAGTCTTCCTTGTGCAGACTTTAAAGGGGAAAGATGGGTTAATGTCTTCTGGCTAAAATTTTGTCTTCCTCCAGTAGTATTTTTTTAAATGTATGAAAAAGGAATTTTCTTATCAACCACAGTTACCATTACTCTCACAAGAATAAAATACAGATGCAGATTAGTAAATGCATAGAGTACAGAACTGACGTAACTTGCCCTAACTTGCCCTCATTTTATGCCATGAATATACTGTTGTTTAAGAAAATTCTGATTTTGTTTGAGTAAATCAGGGTTTTTTTAGAGTTGATTAATAGAAATGTTCTGATAAAAATGTGGACTGTTTCTACCAGATGCTTGTGCAGTAACAAGATGGTCATTTAGTATATTGTGGTTGATGTGGAGTCCAGTTCTATCACTTACTGATAAGACTTTTTTGTTTATAGACAAGGCATATGGCTCTCTTTCTCTGTCATCCCAAAAGCTTTGTACACTGTTACTCCTCAGATTTTGTTAGCTTTTGTTTAAGAATAAATGTTAACTGTGTTGCTGCCTTTTTGAGTAAATCAGCTTAAACACCGGAAACACTAATTCAGTGTTACTTTTGAGGCAAAATTACAAAAAAAAAGAACATGCTGGGCTACTGTTCCTTTATTTATACACACCATCATGCATGTGTTGTGGAAAATGCTCTAGCACTGAATAGCATTACATATAAAAAAACATGGGCTAACCATATGAGGGCAATATTTCAGATTGTGTAGTGAAAGTAAGTAAGTTTTCCTTTATGATGTTTTTTGACAGTCTTTTGAATTTATAGAAGCTGTATAAAGACTGTTTGACTGTGTAGCTTCTGTATAACCATGACCTCTCTATGATATGAGTTCATCTGTACAACAGGAAAATAATATTTTTCACTGTTGCTGTCCTAGTTGTCCTTTATTTCCTGCGTCCTTTATTTCCTGCTTCTCTGTCCAAGGAAGAAAAATCCAAGGAAATCCTTTTCTGTACATTAGAGCAAGTTAATCAGGGGATACAAGTTTTGGATTTATTATTTACTGTAGTGAATTGCTTAGTACAGCAAGAGCTTTTAAATGGAAACACCTATCCATCCATGGCAGGCTCTTTGGAAGAGTTAATGTTACCTTCTGTATGCTAGTAAAACAACTCAGCATGGTAATATTGACTAGCATCTATTAAAAAAAAAAATCTAAGAATAAATCACTGTGAAGAATGTAAAGCAATGAATGAACGTGTGAATTTAAAGAACCCGCAGGTTTTTAAAAACCACCCTACTGTCCTCCCTCTTAAAAATCTAGCAGCACAAATTAACTGGTTATGTTTACTGCTCAGGTATTGTATGCATATCCGCTCAAAGACTCCTCTTGCTCTAGTTATTGTTTAGGTAGCTATATTTCCTTTGGGATTGAGGAGGAGTGTGTTGGGTTTTTTTTGTTTTGGGTTTTTTTTGCATGGCTCCCTACATGGAAAGTCTCCCTACATGGTTTATAAAGCTAAAAAGCAGAGATGCATCAGTTAAACAGGATTTAACAGATATGTAAAGAGAGAGTGCTTGATAAAAAATTATGGGACTCTTAATAGGCTATTAACCATTCCCCTCAAACTTTTGTAATACATGTAGCCTGTATCATGACTTTGCCCACACAGCCTGTATTTGTCTCATGTAAAGTTGCAGCGCAGTATTTTTGTTGCAGAGTTTTTTGCAGAGGCTCTGTATTTACATCTGTTAGAGTAAGTATCTGTGATACATGCAGCATCTGTTTGTAAGTACTATAATATCACTGGTCTGTATTAATTCTGTTCCTTTTTGATTTTAGTTGTGTGCCTGGTTGCTTACCACATATTTTTCATGCTGTTCGTCTGGTCATATTGGAAAACAATCTTTACGCTACCAATGAATCCTTCAAAAGAAGTAAGATAAACTTAACTTTTGTTTCTGAAATAGACTAGTCAAATGCCTGATTTTGTAGTATTTGAATAACTCAGAATCTGTTCTCATGTAGTTTTACACTGTGTAGAAAAATACGGATGGTAGTTACAGCTTCTTAATAGGAGTAAGTCAGATTGCAAACAGTGTAATGGCCAAGACAAAACACCTTCTCTAAGTTTTAAAGGTTTTTAAATAGATTTTTTTAAACTAAATAATATTTATGCTATGAAGAAGAAAAAACCTCTCCGCTTGAAAAATATTATTTATTTGAACTAGCAGCTTAAATCTCTGCATGGAATTATACTTTTATGTGGTCAAAAAAGTTATTTCCCACTGTTTAAGAGTTATATTGCCTGTCAGCATCTGTCTGTTGTCCTCTGAATTAAAGCTTCTTCCCCATCTAGTTTGGTATGAGGGCTGTGGCATGAGCACACAACAGGTGAGCTGATGCTGGGAAGCCACGGCTGGCTAAGCAGGAAAGGAGCTAGTATAGAAGAACTGCATGGAAAAGAAGTCTGAATTAATATATACCCCAAGTGTAAGTCCAGCTAGTACAGAAGTGTAAAGAAGGATCCAGTTGTCTTGGAGAATATTAAGATACAAAACCTCATCCAACATGATGTAGCCTCAAGATAATTGCTTTTAGTACAGTACTGTGGTTTTAATTTCACATTCTTTCTAACATTTAAAAAAGATAAAACCGTCAATAGCCTTGATGAAAATCCTCCCCATGCAGCTTAGTACAACCAGTGCAGCTTTTTGGCCTCTTCCATCTTGTCTTTGTACAGAAACCCTACAGTCCTCAGTAGGTGCTGAAGACACACAACCTCTGAGGTCAAGAAGAATCATGCTGTGGCTGTTCAGGAGTTTGAAATATCCACAAAGCCAATACTTGTTTCGGCATGGACTCATAATTCTAGCTCCTATAACTACCAAGCCAACCCAAAATAAATAGCTTGTGATTTCTACTGTCTGTTATGTGGAGGTTCTTCTCAATAGTTTTTGTTCACTAATAAGATATATAATTGGGAAAACAAGTAAATAATTCAGAGTGATTGGCATCTTCCTTGAATTTCACACTGCAGGCAGAGAGGAGCTAAACAAATTACAAACTTATTTCATTTGATAATTACATAGCAAAATATATGCATATATATGGTGACTGTAGCGATAATTAGAAGGGTTTTTGAAATCACTGGGCTGATGCCAATAAAAGACTTCCAAAACATTTTGACAAGTCCTTAGTAATTACAGTGGGATTCCAAAGCCACCATACAATGCTACTGGAGAACTTCAAATGGGATATTAAAAGTATTGAAGTTGGGTAATAGAAAGCAGTGTGTGGTGCTTCTGTGTTTGAATTTACAGTGTTGCTGGCAGTGACACGTCTGTTGTTCCATGTCTTTTTCCTAATCTACTAGAGCAGTATTCTTAAAATTTAATTAGGGTATTTTGTAATGTTAAGCTACTGCTTGGCTTCCACTTTCTAGGATGAAGTCTGTAAATGTAAAATAATGTATTTTCAGTTTGACTGAACTGACTTACCAACTATAGCAAATATTTGAAGTCTGAAAAACAGATTAAGCTTTTGCATTTTGCTTTCGTTAATACTGCAGCTGGTGCAGACCACATAGCCTGTATTTTTCTTTTTAAGATTATTTCATTTTACATGTATAAAAAGCACTAAAGTTCCAGCTTCAGTTTAAGATATTTTGAGGAACTTCACTTTAGTGTGTGCCATTCTGTACCTGCAATGTATTGGCTACATACAAGTGTTGGATGAAGGCAGGAAAGAAGATGGTTTCCAGGCAGGAAGGTTTTGAAGACTTAGGGCTAGTCTGAGAACCAATAGAAAATGATGGAGCAATAGCTCTGTGTACATCAAACAGGAAGCATTAAAAAAAAAAAGTATTCTGAAACAAGTTTCTGCAGTGAGAGATCCTATGTATCCTGATATAAAATCAGTTTGGGTGTTGGCAAGAGTGTATTCTTGCTAGGGAAAAAAATGAAAGGTGACCTAAGAAACTCATGCTGAACAGTGAACCTCCAGGTTCTGGTGGAAAACTGAGCTTTGTCAGGAAGGTAGAGTGGTGCCTTCTCTATGGAGATGAGAATAAGCTCCTAACTGTATGTTTCTGTCCTGCTTTCTTAGTTTTGTATGCATCACTTTCATTTAGGAAAAAATGTAGTATTATTGTAATGTCTAGCCTTTTTCTAGATGTAAATGCTGTGCAGAGGCCTTCTGTTTCTGGCAGAGGTTAGAGACAGCCACTTTTTCTGCCAAATAGAGACTTTCAGAGGTGGTTTTGTATCCCGTTTTTCAAATAGAGATACCAAAGACTTCAGCATCTTCCCGTTTCAAGAAGCTACAGCTGACAAAGCTGACTATGTTGCTGTGTTGCAGAGGACTTTGGAGTATAAGAAATTTGGACTACATCATGTATACCATGCATCTCAGTAATTTTTTACCCTCCTAGCTCTCAACTAGAGCAATGTTTGTTATTGCTATTTTGGGCAGTGACGGAAGTTGTCTTTCTGCAGCAAAATGTTAAGAAGTGGTTATTCTGTCATACAGGTCACCTATCTCTTCCTTCTCTCAGCCAATCTCTGAAGTAAAAACACATCCTAACACCTACACGAAGAGAACAGCAACGCTCCAGCGGCAAAGAACAAAAGTAAAAATGCCAGATACCAGTAGAGAAATAAAGCTATCTTTTCTGCTATTATTAGTAGCATGTTTTCTTGCAGTTAAAAACTGACATCCCTAGCTTATATTCACTAGCTAATATTTAGTATTGCAGAAATAAATTAACTGACCTTTCAAGGGAATGATAAGTTCTTGATCCTTCTCTTGAAGAGTGTCGCTTATTACTTCTGGAAGCATTCAACATTGCATCAATACCAAATCAGAAGTAATAGAAATTTTGTCTTCAGTTGCCATGAAATAAATTAGTCGTCTTAGGAACACTGAATTATTCGCTGTAATACCTTTTATGTGCTGCTAATCCATCGTTATATAATGAATATTTATTTCTCTTTACATCTCCACAGATATTTAACTTGAAATTTGCTAACGTATCTTTGATTTTAAAAATTATTCCAGTTTCATCTATCATATTCAGACAAAGAATCCCTAGAGAGGGAGCCTAGAGGTGAATCCCAGCAAGAAGTCTTAAGACGGGCAGCCAAGGATCTTCCTATCTATACACGGACAATGTCTGGAGGTAAATAGGTGTTCAGGAGACCACTGAAGGCAGGTGTCTTGATGTACTACCTAAACTAATAAAAAAAAAAAAAATTGCAAGGGTTTGGTTTGTAGGGAAGAACTGTTTTTCATGCTTTAGAAAATAACAAAGCGACTCAAGAACTTTAACGTAGCTGTATGCAGCTACATCTATTCAGTGGAAAGGTTGTTGGAAAGTAGATTGCTGCATATTATTTAGGACTTTAAAGTGGATTGACAATGCCTCGCTAAATGTTTGCAAACTGACATTAACAAATAGCATGTCATCCTAACTGCAGAAGAGGCTGTAGCAGTCTTTAACTGGGTAGATTTCTTCTTTCATGGATTTAAATCACTATCTGCATGTCAGGTATAGCTAGATAAATCACAGTAAGAAACTTACTGGTTTACTTGCTGGTTGTTCAGTTGCAGGAACAAAAGTTCTTCCACACTAAGAGTTAATCTTAACCCACTGATATTGTAAATTTGTGAAAGCTGGCTATCTAAGCAAGTCCAAGAGATAATCTCATATAGTAAATAAAAGCTGTTAGAATAATAATTTCAAATAGCTATATTGTTGAACAGTCTTTAAAGGTTTTTCTGTCTAGTGAGGGTTTTGTGGGTTTTATTGGTTTGTTGGTTGTTTTGCAGAGCTGAGGGGTTTGGAAGAAAAAACCCTGGTTAACATGATTAGCAGACTGCAAAAACTAAGCTTTTGGTGTTCACTCTGCTAGATTCAGCATTGCAAGTAGCATTGCAAAGAATGCTTCAGTATTTGCAACTGCTTCTGATCATGCTGAAGTGCTTTCCTGTGGGTTCTGCTGGGCTGAGCTGCTAGTATTTTTTTTTTGCACAGATTTCAGGAGTCAAAATGTGTAACTACATTGAGATCTAACCTTGGAACTTCTTTCTTTAGCAATCAGATACTGTGACAGATGCCATCTTGTAAAACCAGATCGTTGCCATCACTGTTCTGTATGCGACAAGTAAGAAAATATTTTGAATACATGGTTTTCCGAATTAATGGATTTTTTTTCTTGACACAGAAGTGGTTTTTTTTATGTATAGATTTTTCAGGTTTAATGTTTTGGCAGATAAGCTTTTTTTTTTCCTTAGATTTTTTTCAGATGTAGTTTTTATTTACTTATTTCTAAGGAAGTCTGTAACTTACTCTAATTCATTTGATGGCTTTCTTGATGCCGACATGGATTACGTGGTCTTACACGTTCTTTACATAATGGTTAAAAATTATGAATATGAATAAAGTACTTTCCTTAACAATGTAACCAAAAATACCTGATAAACAAAAATTTGCTTCTTTTGTTAGAATCTGAATAAAGATCACTACCCATCTCAATCTAATCATGATGTGACTTACATCTTATCCGAGGTAATAAACTTAATATCCTATTTTTCATTGGATAACTTGCAGGTTATTTTTGTTTAAGGAAAGAAACAACCAAACATCCCCCATTTCTAACTGAAGCTGTAAAATAAAGGTTTTGTTTGTCTAACACAAAAGGAAGTTCACGTCCATATTCCCCAGAAGTCTAATTGCTTTGTAATTTAATCTTTCTTTCGGCTGCTTTTTCTCTCTGATCCTTCTCCAGTTAGCTTGGATGTCCCTGTGTTTCTCCACTCTTGCTCCCAGTGATTTAAATTTCTAACATTAAGAGAAGGGGCTTCTTCAGAGGTTCATTTATTCTTAGCTTTAAGGCTGTTCCAAATACTCTTCAGCTGATATGCATCAAACCTTCCAACATGATTGTGAGGCCAGGAAGACTTCCTATTTTATCCACCAAAACAGCAGAGGCACTGGAAGAGTAACTGTGTTGAGGCAAAGGATTTTGGTTGTGTTGCATGGGATAGTGGTTGCAGTGTAAGATAGGAACATTCTCATGTCTGAGCAGAGTGAAGAAAAAGGGTGACCTGTGTTACCCTACAAAATAGGAGAGAAATTTACAGAATGCCATTAGTTAATATATTTTGCAGAATTCCTCAATTTTGTCCTTGTCAAAATTCACCTGTTTCAATTATATCTGATTTTCTTGTGCATGTTTTATTAATGGAGAGTGATTAATTACAAAAATGTTTGGGATTTTTCATACAAGGTAAGTTCCTAAAAATATTGTGTGCATCTGTATATATTTCTATAAATGCAAATCATGTACTTGAAAATAGATTTTATTGTATCACTAAGTATATAATAATTGAATTAACCCAGTTTCTAAAGCTCTGTCAGAGAATAAAAGAGTTGAAAAACTTACTCATTCTGAGACCGAATCCTAAAGTTGGAGTTACAGATTGCATTTTCTGAAATCATTAAGCTCTTGACAGAGCAAGAGTTTTCTGTTTGGGTTACCTACAGTTCACTTCTAGGTAAACTGTATTAGGTGAAGTCGAATAAACATATTTGTTAAATAGATTACATAACTAGTAGTACATACGGCTAATTCTTAATCTGAATGTGAATAATTTAAATCCAACATGTAACAGTGTGCTGACTTATTTTTTTCTTTTGCCTTTTGCGGTTATTGGAATTCTGTTGGGGTTTTTTTAAGATGCATTTTGAAAATGGATCATCATTGCCCTTGGTAAGTGCACTAATTGCTTTCTTTTCTTATTTTCTGATTTGGTAGAATAAATTCTTGAGGGGCCTGTTATGAAGGTGATGCTTCACGATTCCTAGAGTTACTTGTTTATGTGAAGTTACTAGTCTTGCAGGACCATTGAAGTTATTTACTGTATGCCCTCTTTTCCTAGTTGTGGGATGTGTAAAGAAGTTCATATATAATTTTTCTTAGACCTTTGAGTTAGGTAACTCCATATTTTTACAGTTAGGATGAGGCAGACTGCTGGTCAGTAAGAAAACTTTTAAGATTTGCATCTTCTCTTCACGAAATTTTTTACTGGGGCTTAGTTGCATTGAATGATGAAATACTACCTTAGGTTAAAACTCAAAGGGCTGTGCCTTGTTCCCCTTTACTGAAGCACCCAGGACAGATTGAGTGGGCTTGCTGGAAACAGCAAGTTAGCTCTTTTAATTTTATGGGTTCTTTGTTTTCTTTCATTTTTTCTTGCCTCTCCCTCCCACTCTCCCTCCTTTCGCTGCCATGACAGCCTGCACAGTGGTTTTGTTTTACTGTCTTTTCTCAGCAGCCTTTGGAACCAGTGGGTAGACAGGATGTGCAATTAATTTTATGTCAGTTTGGCAATTATCTCACAGAAATAATTAGAGGTAATTGTTTAGTAAGGTCTAAGTTAAGAGGATTGAGTGGTAGATGGCAGTTCTTCACCACATGAAACCAATCAGAAAAGAAGAATCTCCTGCATGCGACAAAACTGATTGATAGATGATTCTAAGCAGCTGCTTTGACCTTCTTAAATAAAATTTTTGGGCAGAGGGGGCTCTGTCCTACAGGAGAAAGGGGTGCTGGGCCCCTCCTGTTTGTCTTGGTCCTGACTGCAGCCTCTGACATAATACAATATGATTTAAGAATCTCTTTTTATTTTGCAACTGCATGGTAGATACAATTGAAAGAAATATTTAATGATACAGAGTAGAGTTATTTCCTACATATTTTTTTGCTGTACAGATATGAGCATATGAATCTTCATGATGCTTAGTGTTAGTAGTGTGCTTCTTAATTTAAAAAAAAAAAAAATCCAAACCACAAAACACAGATAAAACCACTGAATGTGGAACAAATTTCATATTAAAAAAAGGCTGTTTCCTTTTGTTTCCCTTTTTTAGCCTTCTTATAAGCTGTCTTGTAGAAAGCTGTAAGAAAAATAGCTGTCAGGCTATTCCTGACAAAGTATCAGTGAAAAGTCTCAATATTACTCTTACTATTCAGTATCATACACACTTTTCATAAGCTTTATGGTCTGTTTGAGATTTTTTGAATTGTCGTGCCTTAGGACAGCACATGAAAATGTCCTTTATGTAAACTTCAATTTCAGAATAAAAATCCATTGCATCAAATAACAAATCAAACTGAGCACTTGTGTAAAGTGGCAGTGAAGTGCTATTTCACTAGGGCATAGACATCTAGAAAAATAAATTCCATTTTTCTCTCAGTAGCGTTTGCTTGTTTTACCTGTTTGCAGACTTTGTATCCAAACATAAATATGCTCATTTTGAGAGAGTATTTACATTGCTCATTGTTTTTAATCTAATAAGCAATAGGTGCAAAAAGAAAAAGTAAAAATGGAGAAGGTACTTGAAAGACATGTAATGCTTCTTGATGGAGAATTATTCCTTTTTTGCTCCAAGTAACAGAAATGAACTAGAAAAATAGGTATTGTCTTGCTTTATTTTTCCTGATCTAAGAGGATGTCCACAGTTCCTTTCTCACCCTGAAAAATATAACTATGTGGAAGTAATAAGAGAATTTTGAAATACTGCACAGATGCTGAATAAACTTTATAGTTTCCTTTAAAGAGCCGTGTTCAAGGGTTCTTTGGAAAATACGGATATTTTGCCAACAAAAGTAGGGGTGCAAATCAGTATAATGGGTGGGTTATAGCCCCCTGAAAATATCATCAGGTGCTGCTTCGCTTTTTTGTGTTGGGATTTTTTGGTAGAAGTAAGTTCGGTGGGAAAGAAGGGAGAAGGAACCCATGTGATACTTAGGGAGAACAGGGAAACAGTAATGGGAATTACTACTATTTTAATATTTGGCTAGGAGAAGGATTTCTGGAGGGAGAACAGGTAAGAATAATAGCCATGGGGAAGTAAGATGAAGCATTTGGAAGGCAGAGGTAGTAAGATGGTAGTCATGTGCTAGCCTCAGGTCAGCTGTCTTCTGCTTCTTGGGAGGCTTTATTTTGGCTGCCACTCCTGTGCTAATGGAAGTGTTGTGATAAATGGAAATACTTAATGCTAATTGCCCTCTAACTACTCTAAAAGGTTTAAGTGAAGCAGAAATAAAAGCAAATTGATGCAGAAATAAAAACATTAGTGATTTCTATGCTAGTGCTGCTGCTATTCATACTCTATATAGATGGAACTGCAGGCAGGAATGTGATGGCTTAAGGCATCACCAAAAATATAATCTGTGTATAACAACTCTAATGCTAACAAGGTGCATTAGGAACACTTTAGGAATAATTTGAAACATCTCTCCTTTGTCTTTTGAGAATCTCATTTAGCATCTTTATAATTTTCTGATGCTTTTGGTTAACTGACTTTTATCACCTTTGGAGCCTTGTAAGTTGAAGATGCCTGGCATCTTCAGTAAACTAACTCTTGAGACAGAAGGGATAAGTCTTTTTGTGCTTCAGAATTGTTTTAAATGTTACCCGTAATCCAAATTGTTAACCTGGACTGTTCTTCTGTATGAATGTTTCACTGCAATAGCACACCATTATTTATCCATCCAGTTGTTGGCACATTCATCTGTTTTACTCTTCCTCAAAAATGTTAAGACTTCAAATCTAACCACCTTTCTTGGGTTTCATGATTTGATACTGCATGTTCAAATAGTACAATTACAAAACCTTGGTGCTTACTTTCTCTTCAGTTTTCTGATGAACTTACTCTCTTGCAGTAAAAACTCTTCAGTCCAGCACTTTGTCAAAATTGGAGGGAGTGGAATAATTTATGAAAGTTTATTTTAATGTGTGTACCATATGCAGTAGTGCAAAAGAACAGCAAGAAAGAAATCTATCTTTGGGGAATACATTTCATACGATATTTCTTTTTTCACACTAAACAGTGTCATAAAGTAAAAACTGTCCTAAAATAAATACCAGGAAAGGAAAAGAGGGTTATTATAAAAACCTTAAATTTGAATTGCTTGCAGTTTATCCTGGAATTGCTTAATCTGGCATATTTAATGAAAAACAACACTTCACTGTGGAGAATTGTAAATTTACCTTTCCAGTAAAAATCATAATGAGTTTAGAAACATACCTTCTGGGTTTTTTAATTAAAACAATCTGTTGTGAGCCTTTCTTAACTGTAGTTAGTATAGATGCTTAGCTATTGCTGCATGTTTAAATTTAGCATCGCCATTTAATGTTTAGCCAAGGTGGCATGTTTTGCAAAACCAATAACAAAATAAGTAAAACCCCTGCCCACCCTGAGGATGGATAACAGTAGTGTACAGTGAAAGTTTATTTGGTATTTGAAGATTTTGCCCTATTGTGATTACCATTTATCCTGCCATTACCATCGCTGTCTCTGTAAAGAAGAGAATAGTTGAGTAACTTGTCCTGTACTTGTAGAAGCTAAAGTTGAGACAAGCCATGAATTATTTTTTGAAAATTATTTTTCAACATACAAGTGCTTTCATGGATGTAGTCATCTCTTTAAATTAGCTGATCTTTCTGACAGCGATATCAATTAGTTAAAGAAGGCATATGGAATTATTTTTTTCTTGTATAGAGATTTATGTCAAAGTTAGCAGTGCAGTGATAACTTTCAGTAGCTGCTTAATGCAACCAAATAAAAGAAAAAGGAAGCTGTTTACCAATAAACTGTCCATGGGCAACTCTCCAGTATTTTTCGTTTGGTGGATATAATATCATTACATGTTTAATAGAGCTCTGAAATTAATAATACTTATTATATTGCCTCTAATGGGAAGCTGCTGTGGTACTAAATATAACCTCATCATCATGTCTCTCTGATGATAGTGTATACTAGTTGCTCATGTATAAATTCTTTAAAAATGGGAAACAGATGAACTTGAAGCCCATAATTACAAATGATAAAATTAGGTTTATTTTAATACTTGGATGTATTTACATGTTCCTGATCTCTCTTATTTTCTGTCATGTTGTCACTGTGATATGGAACGTTTTATATTTATTCAGTGGTAGTACTTCTTTCACTATTTTATACAAATGTAAATATTTTTAGGAATTTCCTATAAATGCTCTTAAGTTTGAGACTCTTAGTAAGAAGCTTTAGTATGTAGGATGGTTAATGAAGGAGGATATGGATTAAATGAGACTGCTATTATTGTCACCAAAATTCAGTTGAGATTCAAATTCTTGGCTTGTAACTGACCCAGTTGTTATGTGCAGTATGCCTAATGGTAAAGCATGGATACTTAAATTTACCTACAAAGTGTAAAAGTAACTGCCACTGTAGTTACATTTACATCAGATGTGCTGGGAACAGATTTCATACCATAAATGAAAATTCAGTTTCAGTTAGCTGTTGACAGTGGTAAAGTTCTTTGGGTTTTTTGTGGTGGAGGGCAGTGTTTTGGTTTTGCTTAGAATTACTACACTAATTTGGGAGTTGAAACTAAATACATTTCAGTAGCTTGAGGCACCAGAAATAGGAATTAAAATTTGATTTACATGCTGATGTTAACTTTTTTTAGAGTAAGTTTAATTTTAAATTGGATGAAAGTGAAGGAAATAACTTTCATTACATCCCATTTTTACTTATGCCTTTTTTTTTTATTACCAGGGTGAACAACTGTGTAGGATTCTCCAATTACAAATTTTTTCTTCTCTTCTTGGCTTACTCGCTACTGTATTGCCTCTTCATTGCTGCAACGGATTTACAGTACTTCATCAAGTTTTGGACAGTACGTACCCTAATCTACATACTGTCTTTAAGCATGTGGAGGTACCACTGTGAAAGAAGTCTTAAGATTCCGAGGCATTACATTGTAATCTAGTATCTCCTAATATGAGGTACAAAAGTTTATCTAATAATCATAGCCCTCAATTTTTTTCTGTTTATCATAGTTTATGAAATTTCACTTCTTCATTATTTTGAAGCTGCGTAAACAAGTATGCAATTATTTAGAAAACATTTTACAAGGGCATTTATATTATAGATAGGGGTTTTTTAACTTCCATTAATGCTATGCTATGAAAAATCTTCAGAGAAATTTTCTAGTATTTTAATTGCAATTATCTGGATTCACAACTTAGGATATTACGTTCTTAGATTTGCAGTTTTTATGCTATAAGTATTCTGAAAAGGCTACTTAAGGCTATTTTTGTAAAGACAAATTATTATTTACTAAAACACACTTCAAAGTTCAGAACCAGATTTCAGATCCTTGTTGTCAGTGTTCTCAAGAAAGGGCCCCTTTTTTTAACTTCCATGCTGTCAGCAACCTCATTGCATGGCTGGCTGTACATAGGTGGTGTATAATTCACTTATTTAGACTCTTGTGTGGTATGTTTGTGTCTGCACTGGATTGTATTTGGCTGAATAGGGGATTATTAATAATCAAATCAAACAGCTATTTCCCCGATTCTAAAGGCTTTTTTTTTTTTCTTTTTTTTTTTTTTTCCCCAGAATGGCCTTCCTGATACTCAAGCCAAGTTCCACATCATGTTTTTATTCTTTGCTGCAGCTATGTTTTCTGTCAGTCTGTCTTCTCTCTTTGGTTATCACTGTTGGCTTGTCAGCAAGAATAAATCTACATTAGGTAAGTAGATTTAATGCTTCTGTGTTTGACAGCAAAAAAAAAAAAATAAATGTATGTTGTATGTATGGGGGTAATGGAAAAGGTGAGTAGTCCTGTGCAGGTTGCTTGGACCCTAGTTAGAAGTGCTTGGATCTGGCAATGTCCAGTACTGACTTCCCAGATCTGCTGCTCCCCAAAAATTCTGACTCTTTTCCTCTTGTCCCAAGGGGACAAGCTGTTAATGAACTTATCCTCTTCTTTCCACTTCCTTCCATCCACAGCTTGTTAACAGAAACTGAATAAATTTAAAAAAAAATTAAAAAATGAGATCACTTTGTAATGTTAGATACACTAATGCGTGTTGACCCAGATGCTTCTTGTTTGGCATTCCCAGCCCCCAGGTCAGAGTCTTCTGATGTGGCATCTCAATCAGGTCTCCAGCGCTTCATTCCCACCCTTGCCCTGGGCAGAGCCAAAGTTGCTTTGTTCAGTTCAGCTACAATTCTGTTTAAAAACTCTGAAAGAATAGTTATTAATTCTCCTTGCCTTCCTCTCCTTGCCTGTACTGGAGGCAAGGAGAGGAGAAAAAAATCTGGAAAGCAAGCTGTTTGTGGTCATAGTGCTATTAGTTTTGATCAACATGAATGAGCACAAAGAGCCAGTGTCAGAGAATGATCTGATATGGGAGCGCTTCTATATTTAGTAGTAGATGAACACAGAGATCTGAAAGGCAGTTTCACAGTTGTGAGTCCTGTCTACCACATAATCATAGATGCATAGAAAGGCCTCTGTGTTATGAGTTAATTAAAAAAACCTCAGAGATGGCCTGTGCCTCTTTTATGGGGCAGTATATATAACTACATTGAATATCAGCATTTCCCACCACTTGGATGCATGTTTGTCTGGTTACAAATCTAAATAAATAAATAACTAGATAGATAAATAAATGGAGGTGCAGAAGATTTGAGTGCCTGTTCTATGCTATATCCTGGCCTGTAATAATAGCAATTTGCAATATATTCATTAAAGTTTCTATATCTCTAAATGCTTTTCTTTTGATATAAGATTAATTCAAGTAAGCCAATGAATTGATTTTTTTTCCAGTTCTTTTGGGATTTACTAATATATGGATGATTAATGGAAAACTTTTAATATATATCATTGGAAGAAACCTTGTTTACTTCAAGATTTCTCCAGGGTTTGTGGGTTTCTTCGGTATTCTGAAAAATTATCTCCTTAGAAATTAGTACTGGAAAAAATTTGTTCAATCTAATTATAAGTGGAGAAGAGTTTTACTAATGATGATTAAATGAATTGAAATAATTACATACTCCATTTATAAGCTGTTTGTATAATTTTAGTGAAAAAAAAATGTTCAAAGGTAACCATAACGCAGTACACTTCTAATTCAACTTTTCATGTTTTTAAAACAAATTTAATTCCATGCAAGTATACAATGTATACCCTTAAGCTACTCAAAAAGATATGTTTGTCTCTCGTCTTTCCATTTTACTTTGGCAAATTGTTCAATATGTGAAACCCTTGAACATGCAGTAGTTTGGTAATGAAGCCATGACAGCTTTAAGTATGACTGTGCTTAAATCATTCAGGGAGCTGTTTTCTTAGCCTAACATGGGCATCTAAACGGCTATTTCTATTTTCCCTTCTCACTTCTTTAAAATACCTTGTAACTAATGCATACTACATGCTGAAGGTCATTTCCTGCAGTTCATAGCTAAGGATTTACTGCAGAAGGACGATTTCTGCGTAGTTCCAGCATGGTTTGTGTGAGCTGTACTGTCAGGACATCAGGACGTGGTTTGCCTACTATATATAGCCAGTTAAGGGAATTAAATGGCTATCAGTCACTTGGTGAAAAGTGAATGATTTTTCTGCTCCAGGCACTCTGCAACACTTGAAGCTGTATTTAGCTCTGTTCTGGAGAAATTTAGTTTGGACATCCATGGGGAATAACCTGGGTCTATGAGTAAAGTGCTTTCTTTATGCAGCTGTAAAAACATAGTATTTTTCATACCCCAGGGTGTGAAAAGCTAGTCTTACTACTAAAGTAGGTTAAGCTTTCCTTCTTTTCCATTACTCTTTCTGTAGTAAACCCTTTATTTAGGTTTTTCTTTCTTGCACACTCTGTAGTATATGGTCACATGCTGAAATCTTCATATAATATATAACGTCTTCTTAAGAAGTGAATTCCTCACTCTTCCTTGCCTTGATTAGGGAGGAGGGTGAAGGAGACTGCTACAGTTCCTCACCCACAGGGCTTCCTCTGCACGCACGGTGGCTGTGTAGCACTGACTTTGGCTTTTGTGAGTGGAGTAGCTTTCTCAGTCATTTGGGCAGTACAGCCTTCCCTCTTGGGTGATGATATCGTCAGTGCAATTGCCTAAATATTGGTGTGAAACTTAAACGTGCTGTCTTGCAAAGAGATATAATTATTTTTTTTTCTTTTAAGAGGTATTCAGAGCTCCCATATTTCGTCATAGAACAGACAAGAATGGCTTTAGCTTGGGCTTCAGCAAAAACCTAAGGCAGGTGTTTGGTGATGAGAAAAAATACTGGTTGCTGCCAGTGTTTTCAAGGTATGCTCAGTTTTTAATGTTTCTTTTGTTGAATTATTGAATAATCAGGATCCACAGGATTTGGGGGGGGTGGTGGTGGTTAGTTTTTTTGAAATAAGAAACAGTAATACCTACTTTAGAAAAAATAGTTCTTTGAAGTGGGGTGTTTTTTGTATATATGACACTAATTCTGAATTTTTCAGTCTAGGGGATGGTTGTTCCTTCCCAACTTGCCTTGTTAATCAGGATCCTGAGCAGGCTTCCACACCTGGTGGTCTTAACTCAACATCCAAAAAGTAATCTGCTTTTTGTTACTCATTTCAGATAGTTGATAATCTATTTTTTCCTGTGCACATGTAAATAGAACCATGTATAAGATGCTTAAAAATGGTAAGCAAGTTAAGAGTATCCTATTAATAAATACAAGTCAGATTTAAACAGCTGAGCTGTTATTCAGCTAATCCTCAGATTTTTATTTAAATTTATGGAAATAAGGTGGGGTTTTCTTTCCCCTGATGTGCTTTGTCTCAGTTCAGTGGCACCCAAGGACCTGAGTTTTCCACATCTACCTAACACTGTGTATCAGCCACATTCTGTTCTGCATACATGAGAGACGATTAGTCGGTCTGCTGGTGATAGGGATGCATTACCTTCCAGGGCTTTTGGGGGAGGCCTGCTTCTTCATATCTGGTGAAAGGTGCTTCACATAAGGGAATCCCAGCCCTCAGCACTCTGCCAAAGCACAGGAAACTGCATATTAAATGCACATGTTTTGTTTCTGTGGATAACAGGACATATTTTCTTTATTCTTGTCCTTCATGGACATGACATCTTTAAAGTGTGAAAAGTATGCAGATGCTCCTTAAACTAAATAAATATAACTTAGTATTTCATTAACTTTTCTGCAACATTTATTTAATGAAGAGGGTAATGAGTACAGTAGACTTGAATATTTGACTAAGAAATGATAATAGAATCAAATTGGCAGTCTTCTATTTGTAAAAGAAATACATTATGTTTCAACTAGCTGCTTATTAACATTGTAATTCTTACTGCAGTGATCCATAGCTTATATTAGACAAGAGATTTTGGAGATGGTCTCTCCACTATTTATCATATCAGGTTTGTTGTAGTGGGACAGAATATGGCTAGAGTGCATTTGGAACTGAAGTACATGTATTAATATATAATAGCTGTTAAAGAAAAAAACAGAATGTTTCCCTGTTCTGTGCTAGGGTGTTGCTTTTTACATGGAACTTGCATCTGTGACAACTACAGTGTAATGTATGTAATGATAAAAGTGTAGTGATTCCTCAGAAAAGAAGCAAGGTAAGGTAGGGAAAATATTGTATATGACAAACTCATTGTAATATGTGGTAAGATAATGAAAAATTACTGCACTTTACTAATTTTCTCTTTATTGGCATTACAGTGAGAGCCACCTGTTTCCTGCAAAGCCGTTGCGTGATTCCCAGAGCCACCTTCTTACAGATGCACCATCTTGGTCAGAAACTAGTGCAAAGGCTGAAAAGGGCAAAGTTGGTAAGGAACTGATTTATGCTGCAATGATTTGTTTTGTAATAAACTCATTTTGGAGGATATAGTGCAAGAATTACCAGGGTCACTTGGTTTGTATTCATGAACCAAAATTCAAGAAGCTCATTTTAAATGCATGTTTGTAGGAAGTTCCATGTATCAGGCTGCTGTGCCCTTCCCAGTTAAACCTGACCAAGAGATACTGAAAACGTTAACACCGGGAGGTGCTCATTATCTTTCAGGATGAGCCTGATAAGCATTTTGCTGTCAAAAGTATTATACTAGAGTATGATGACACCTTGTTGCAACTAGTGAAAAGCTGTGTAAGGGACAGAGGACAGAAATAGACATGGTAATAGTGGAATGACATTAAGATGGATTGTTAATTAAAGATTGTATTATTTGATGAAATAGACAGGAGACCTTTTCCTGTGGAAACAACATTTTTTTGTCTTTAAAGGTATGAGCAATCCTGCATTAACCATGGAAAATGAAACCTAATTTTCCTTAAAAGAAACATCTGAATATCTAAGGAAAGGTATGTTAATATTCTCTGTACTTAATATGTTATTTCATAATTTCTTACCACTTGAAAAATGCACAGAAGAAAATTACTAAAGCAATTCCTATCTGTTTTCTTTTCTTCAACTTAAATTTTTATACCATGAGTACTGTCATGTGAATTAATAGTTTTAAACTAAACCTCATGTTTCTTGATGTTTGCAAAATAGTTTAACCTTTATACCTATTGCTTTTAGGTAATATTCCAAAATACTAAAATTATTCTCTTTCTTTAGAGAAATAATAAAATTGTGACTATTCAAGCTGACCAGCAAATATTTGTGAAGCTCTTAACACTGAACATAAAGATCATAGCTTGGTCTGCTAAAGCAGTGTCATGGTTTAACCCCAGCTGGCAACAAAGCCCCACACAGCCAGTCACTCCCTCCCCTCCACAGTGGCATGAGGGAGCGAGCTGGAATGGTAAAAGTGAGAAAACTTGTGGGTTAAGATAAAGAGTTTTAACAGGTAAACCAAAAGCCACACATGCCAGCAAAGAAAAACAAGGAATTCATTCCCTGCTTCCCAGGGGCAGGCAGGTATTCAGCCATCTCCAGGAAAGCAGGGCTCCATCCCACATAATGGTCACTTGGGAAGACAAACGTTGTAACTGCGGATGTCCCCCTCCTTCCTCCTTCTTCCCCCAGCTTTTGGTGCTGAGCATGACATCACATGGTGTGGGATATCCCTGGGATCAGCTGTCCCAGCTGTGTCCCCTCCCAGCTTCTTGTGCACCCCCAACCCACTCAACAGGTGGGGTGGGGTGAGAAGCAGAAAAGGCCCCAACTCTGTGTAAGCACTGCTCAGCAATAACAAAAACATCTCTCTATTATCAACAGTTTTATCAACAGTTTTCAGCACATATCCAAACATGGCCCCATACTAGCTACTGTGAAGAAAACTAACTCTATCCAAGCCAAAACCAGCACAAGCAGGTAAAGGTCTATCAAGTGATGAAGGAAAAATAATTTCTTCTAATATATATGCTATCAGCAGCTTGTTCTTCTGTCAGGTATTGAGCTGCATCCTATTTAATAATAAAGAAGTGCTCCTTACTGAAGACAAAAGGTGTCCATATGACTTTATGAGAATTTAGTCACCTATTGTCAAAAACAGCCAAGATTTTTATTTCTTGCATTCATGTCTTGCAACATAGAATTCTCAGAAGGCAGGTTTGAAAATCAGAGTAAATTTTGTTATGTACATAAAAGGAGGACACCTTAATAATTGTGTTGTGGGGAATGAATACAATTGATAATCATATTCACTCTAGTATTTGAAGAGTTCTAACTCCATCAAAGCTTATGGAAATCAACTATTTCATATTTAAAGCTGGATAAAAAATTTTACTCCAACCCTAAGACTTTCAGCATACCCAATAATTTATGATTTTCCAGCAACATTGGAGGAGTCATTCCAGCAGGGTCATGTCCTATGTTATTGGAAGCACCCTTTCAGTCATCCTGAAAAAGTGTCTCAAGTGGATACCCTTCATTTGTGTGTGACATGACTCCTGGACATGAGAGGAAGTGGAAGGCATGGAAAGCCATCGGAGAACTGCAGTGATTGTTACTAGACCCATCAGACATGGTACTGCACTGTCAGGCAGGTTATAAAAACAAGTAGGTGTGCAGATACCAACAGGTGACCTTTAGCCTGTTCCAAAAATGTCCTAACAGTTCAGTTGGATTCATCAGAGAAACTAAAAATTTCTTGACCCGTATATTCTGATTTTGTGTTAAGTGTGAAGGACGACACAGACGGTTCCAGATATAGGTACATCTACAAACTTGATCATGGTGTGAAGTGTTAAAGTGTTGAAAATGTGGGTGTCATGAACAGAGTTAGAGACAAGCGAATGAAACTCAGCCAGTCTGCAATTTTGACTGCTTGGTGTAGGGCTTTTTTTAATGGAATCTAAAAATCTCAATTCTAACATTTTGTTCAAAATGTAAGTGCCATGCTTCTGCCCTATTTAATCCATTGTTTGTTTCAACAACACAACAGCATCTGGAAAACAATAAATTACTCAACTTCAGATAATTTAATGTCTTACATGTCATCACTACTCAAGAGTAAAGATTGGAGACAGGCTTTAAAGAAACAGATTTTTTGATTAAGTTACAGAAATACCATTAATTGCAACTAGTTTGTCAGGTTTGAGTTCCACTTTCTGAAGTCCTAACACTTTATTTACTTAAGTAGTAACTTTTAAACTTTAATCTTTCTTTGAAGAGTGTGAACATTTTATTGGATTATTCACATTATTCTGAATATCAAACGGTTTATGGTTTTTTTCAAGATGCTGAAAGTGGGGTTTTTTCAAGCTGTTTAGCTTGATAAACATCTCATGCTCTTTTTCATTTTTTTCTTTTAGTCCAGTCTGAGAAAGTAACAATTAGATTTATGATTGCAGTCCGATTACCCCACCCCCTGGGTTTTGTTGCATTCATTTGTTTTGAGATTTTTTTTTTGTTTCTTCTTTTTGTGAACATCCATTTGAAGTACAGCTTTTTAAAGAGAGACCACCTATGTTGCAAAGAGTATGTGTAAACCCACATAAATGGACTTGTGGAAGTTAGTTTTGCCTCAGACTGACACATGCACATCTCAAAAGGGCAGTAGCTAAGGTCTGATAATTTCTCTGGCATGAATGTAAGCGCCAGTTTGGTTGTACCCTTAGCTCTGAGATATTTCTGTGTGGCCCTTAAAAGATTTTCTGGAGAGGTAATATCTATATATCTATTTGACATACAGCGGTTAGAATAAGAGCCCTAAACATTTTTACTTATTTTTTAACTACTGTGCATTTAACTTCATTACTTTATTGTCAATATTGAATGCTTTATTAAAGGTGCTGAAGTCACAACAACAAAACCAAGTAATTTCATCTCTGACATGAAAAATATAGCCCACAGCCCCTACCAGTGTGTTAGTAATGTGAGTTTCTGTCCCAGCTAGGGATATGTTCAATATCCTGTAATCCTTTATAGTTGAATCAGAAGATGAATTACTGAGAGTGCCAGATGTGGTTTACACTACTGTAATAGAGAATTGGTTTTTAATGATGCTGGTACCTGGAAGTACTGTAAAAATAGCTCACTTCATTTTATAAACTGGTGGCCTACTTGCTATGTAGTCAGTTTTTAATCACTGTCATCCTGAAGTGGATTAATAACTGTGAACAGTTTTACTGTGTTCCTCTTCAGGGTGGGATTTTCATTCATCTGTGGTTTGCTTTCCCCTTTGAGTTGATGAGACTTGTTGCAATAACGTAATTTTAAAGTATTTTTCAATTCTAATAATGTCTTTTGTATTTAATGTTCTGTTCCAGTTCAAGAAAAGCTGTCGTTGGAAGGAATATGAATTCTTCCAAGCATCAGCCCTGTTGGCCAGCTGCTCCTATCTGCTCCTGTGTGGATGTGCTCAGAAAACAAACTGACAGACAATTAGCTGTCTCCATGTCACTGCTTGAAACATGAAACTAAACATACTACTTCTGAACCATATGAAGAATGTTTTAACTTAAAATTACTGGTTTTGAATGGTGAAGGATGATTCTGAGTATTAGGTAATGGAAAAAAAGGAGTCTGAAGTTGCAATTGTGAAAATTCAATGGCTGGTTTTACTTTGATATTCAGCACAAGAAAAATGTGACCTCCTTACCTACAAGTCCGTGTTCTTGTCTTGGTTTTGAAGATCTACCCATTAATTCAAATTGCTGTAATCAAATTTTTGCACTACTGGCTTTACAAATTGGCAGAATAGCCAGTGTTGATTACAAATAATTTAGTGGCTTGGTGGACTGTATTTTCTTTAGGGCGCTTGATAAGCAATAAGGAGACCCAAGTGAAGTGTCTTGATTATTTTTGGAACATCTTTGAAAAACATTATTGCAAAAGGTCCATTTTTCCCTCGGATAGGTGCTACCAATAGTTTGAAAAGTTGTGGAGGGGGGGAAAAAACTCCTTTGTTAATTGAATGCCACAGTGGGTCACTGGTGAGTGGAGTGATAAAAAGCCTGCGTTCAGATGGATAATACATGAATGAAGCTGGTCAGCTGGGGATTTTGATGGGAGCTGCACAGGACAGTGCAATGAAATGGGGATTTTATTGTCCCATTTGGAGCTGTTAACCCCTTCAGGAAACAAATTTTGGCACTTTGCTCCAAAAGGCTTTTTACCAACTGTGTTCCCAAAGGCCACTGTCTTTCAAAATCCTAGTTTCTAACTATTCAATAGTTGTCTCAGATTTCTTTTTTTACTTGTTCTTTAAGACACTGCCTTTCTAACTGCATAACTTAACGAATACCATGTACAATCAACAAGACTTACTGTTACAACTTGTGATATTTGCATTTACAGGACAACAGATGTTTGACTGCAATACCAAAAAGCCAAGCTGCTGCACATAGGAAACCCCCTTCAATTAAGTTAGGAGCTAGCATCTTTCTTAGAATCAGAGTTTACCGGACAGATAATAAAAGATGCATTATCAGCTTTCAAAGGCAAGGAAATTTCAGCAACACAAATCTAATTGTCTTGTGCCTTTTGTATACACTACATTTATGGTATCAGTGTTTACATTTAAATGCAAATTGTTATTCTGAAAACAACTTTAGGAGGAACTTAGCTATGCGTTCTAGGTGGCTAGATAAAAAGACTAGTCCAGAAAAAAAAAAAATGTGAAAACTTCTCAGCCTAAGCTCAGTTCAGTTGAAGCAGAAAAGTACTTCTGTTATCAAACCTGAGTCACTTAGCAGGTTGGCTTACAGTGTGAAGATGCCAGTTGCTTGTTTAGAAAACTGGCAGCAGGATTAAGTGACAGATTTTGGAAAGCAGATATATTTATCATTAACTCTTCTACAGGCAGGTAACTTTAAAATTTGTCTTTTCTGAGTTTGCAACTTAAAAAGTGATAGCTGTTGGAGCACAAATGTGGCTTTTTTTTCTAGTGAGGGAAAATGTATTTCTTTTACTTTTTTTTTTTTTTTTTTTTTTTTTTTTTAAATCTTAAAATGTTACCAGCCTGAAAACATCTGTTTCTTGCCAGAAGTGCCAGTGTGGAGTCCTTGATGTAGAACACCTTTTTTAAACTAGCATGAAGGTAGCATACAGTTTACATGATGCCTGCAGACATCTAGCAACCAAAAGTTTTTTGCAGCTGTTTATTCAGTGTTGTTCTGTCAGCTTACCTCGTATTAGTGTTTAAAGGCTAACTTGTCAAGGGATGAGGGGGAGAGGGAAAATATATTTTTTAACACTTCAGGTTCTCTATCTGTATAGTCTTGTTTTTTATGCAGTTAGTCACAGGGTGGTTTGTCATGGAGCATGGCATTTGAAAATACTGAGTGAAAAGTTGAAATTCAGCTTCAGTGTAACTTGCTCCATATTTTTACATAAAGACAAAGTACAGGTTTCTTCCCTGGCAAAATTCATAATGGAAAGTAGATCTCTCTAACACAAATGTTGGCCTCCCTGACTATGGCCAGGGCTCTAAGAGCTCTCAGTAAGGCTGGGGATCAGTGTAGAGAAAGGACAGGGGTAAGGGATCAAGAAATGCCTGGCTTCTCCGTGTCTCAGAAGTCACACTTGGAAAGCACAATAGCCCTAAATAATCTGCAGCTTTGACGTAGCCAGAGGCTGTACCTCTAGCAGAAAACTGATGGAGGCGTGGGAAACATATGCTGATGAAGGGAGGAGGGGAAAGAGAAGTGACAGCTCAGAGGTAAACGTTCAGCAGATCTGAGCCAGAGGGCTGTAGCTACAACCTGCTCCCAGGGTGGCTGTGAGCTGTGCCTCATGCAGAGCACTGTTAGCAGGCTGGTGAGGGTTCCTGGAGGTTCTCACTGCATAGAGTATGGACAGAAGTGAGCTAATCATGCTCTGAAGTATAATTTCTGATATGACTATATTCTTGGCTTTAAGCTCTCTAATACTTTATATAGCAAAGTGGAAACGGTCTTTTTGACATTGTCATTGAGCATTGATGCTGTTACAATGCATGTGGGAGAATTTGTGAAGAGGAAGGGAGCAAGGATGCAATGTTGTTTGTCTGATTAGACTGATTCTCCTGTTCTTTATATTCTTGCTAGGCACTTTACTACAGCCTTTTGTGTAATTTCTGTATTTTTTTTAAAGACTGCTTTTTACCTAATGTACAGTTACTAATCTACTTTTTTGCTAAAAAGAAAATGGGAGCCCTGATATTTGTCTAGCAGTATGACTGCATTTCAAGCTTCAGTGGAAGTTGAATGAGTTCTACAGACTCCTCAGATGGGCCTGAGTCCCTAATGACAACAGAGTTAAATTTATTTTGTATATATGTAAACAGTCATATGAATCATAGCTCTGCCCCCCC